ACTAATTGAGATTGGGATTTTTTCTCTTTTAAAGGTTGTACATCAATTACCAGTGCCCATTTGCCCAGCGGACGTGGATTGTCAGGAATTACAAGGTCTGCGGTTAAATTATCTTTCAATGTGGTTATTTAATTTTTTTACTACATGTGTTGTGAATTGTGACCTTGATTACCTGTGATTTATCGTAATATTAATTACCTGTATTATTTATCCATTAAAGTGTTCCCATTGGTGTGGAGTGTGACCCTTTTAGGGGCATCTCCAACGCAATAATGTACATTGTTGTACGTCTGACAAGCAAAATGGGATGGAGAAAAGAACATCTCCAATAGGAGAAATACTTCGGTAGGACGGTCGCACCCTATGGTCAAGAGAGAGGATGCAGGGAAAGAGTGATGATAAATTATAACATTTTAAATGGACACATCCTCCTAAGATAAATTATAAAAAATTAAGTGGACGAGGTTCATCCTCCACCTTTTTACATGCCATGTAAGCATTTTGGGGGTGATGTGGCACACTTTTAAGAGCACCACCGTCCCACTAGAGATGCTCTACATATAAGTTGTATAACCCTATGCTCCAGTAGAAGAATCAGGAATGTTAGATTAGCTCTTCTCATGAGCCTCTGTAACCTGTAAAATATTAAAGAACTAAAACTTATAATGTGTTTGCCATCTGTTGGTTTTAAGATTGTTTTACATGTGTTAAACTTACGAAATGTATCAGGTTAAATGAGACATCATCAGTATGATAAGCTAAGCAAAATTCAAAAAGTAAATGTTTTCCAGTTTTGATTTTGCCAAACTAAGATGGAAAGCATACATTACTCTGCTGCAAAATGCAATGTATTTTGACTGATTTTTTATTTTATTTTTTCTGATGAGTAGGGTTTACATGACAAGATCAAACTGGTACCCATTGACCTCCAAAACAGGCCCGCATGGTACAAGGAGAAAGTGTATCCTCCAAATAAGGTAATCATGCTTGGATTTGCGGGGTCTCATGTCTTCCCTAGTATTTCATTTGACTTTTTGTAAGGTCCGTTTGATTGCAAATATGAAATTTGGATGGAAAGAAAACGAATTCTAGAGAATTGAATCGTCTAGAAATTATTTTATTGCGAATTGTCAATTATTGTGTTTGATTGATATAACTTTTCACTTGAAAAATGTTGAAATAAAAATATTTTTTTAGTATTCATTTGGCTTTATTTTACATGAAAATTGTCAATTAAAGGATAAAATTTATTGATATTGAGGATAAAATTTGTTTCCATTGTCAAAAAAAAAAAGCAAAGAAAATCATCTATTTTTTGATGTTCGTTTGACTTTGTTTTATATGAAAATTGTCAATTAAAAGAAAATATTTTTTTTACAATTAGAGATAGAATTTGTTTCCATTGCAAAAAAAAAAAAAAGAAAAAAGAAAAAAAAGTAACAGTACCCTGTTGGGAATTGGTTTTCAAGCAAAACCAAGAAAATTCCAGCTTTCAAGAAAACCAAATTCCATGGAAAAATATGCTATCAAACAGCCAAAAAGTGAAAGTTGGAATTTGAATTCCATTTTCCATGGAAAATATAGTCTATCAAACATGGCCTAAGTGCTTTAGGTATGGAATAGAAAATTACAAATCTGAGTAGTTCTTATTATATATTCCACCAAAATCTTTGGATGGTGGACTTTCTACCCTGAGCCATGGTTGATGGGAATCAATGAACGACGGTAATTGTTAGCTTTTGAAAGGATTCAAGCTACTCTAACATCAGCATATTTACACAGTAGAGACAACATTCTACCCTGCTAATGTAGTTTATGTACTGTTATATAGGTGCCATCGCTGGAGCACAATGGAAAAGTCATTGGAGAGAGCCTGGATGTGATTAAATATGTGGATAGTAACTTTGAAGGACCGGCTCTCTGGCCCGACGTAAGATACCAATTTGATTCCTAGCCTACGTCGACACGTTCATAAAAAATGTGTTTGGGTCGTTCAAAGGAGACACGATAAAAGAAGCTGGTGAGCTTATAGACTTGTGCGAGTTCATTTCATGGCACAGTTCATGGAGATATCCTTGACTTATATGAAATCTGGTTATTACTGCACCAGGTGCCGAATTTGACTATCTGGAAACAGCACTCCAGAAATTCGTTGATGGTCCATTCTTCCTAGGTCAGTTCAGTCTGGTAAGCGAGTCTTCATTGCCAAGGTGCACCGCTCTTTTCGCCTCAGCTCGGGGCACAATAATATATGCACTCTCAAGAATTAAAGCTTTATCTGGTTTGGATATGATCGAAATTTAGGCTTTGCTTTACCGAATATGGCCAATTTTAATGTGAGTGTAATATTCCTTATCCAGTTGTTTTATGTCGAGTCTTTTGTATTCAGGTGGATGCTGCTTATGCTCCATTTGTTGAAAGGTTTCAAATCTTTCTACATGAAGTGTTGAAGTATGATATTACATCAGGCAGGCCCAAACTAGCAGCATGGGTCAAGGTACTTTTGTCATAACTTATTGATAATGGGAATAAATTGACTGAGAATCAATTTCATTATTTCTTGAGCATTTGATTATGCACTGCAATCTGCTGCTGTGCTTGCTGGAATAGGTTTAGCTGATTATTTGGGGATTGGAGTTGATATGAGTTTGTGTTGAAGTCTGGATGGACCTTGGCACCTCTTAAGACTAGGTTTATTATGACTAAACAAAGTGGAATGTCAACTGGATTCAAATGAAATCTAACCTCAGATTAAAGCAAAATGAAAAAGAAATATAACATTTTTAGTGGTTTAACGAGCTTTGCTCCTTCGAGTCCTAATATTGGTGAGATATCCAATGGATGGCAAATGTTACACAATTGTTGACTTCTTCAGAGTAATTAATGAGAAACACATATAACAATGAATGAAGCCACCATTAAAAATTAAGTTTCATGATCTTGTCATTGATGAATGTGACGTATGTTTTTACCATCCCTTCCTGTACACAATCAGACGTTTTACTCTCTTCGGGTCTCAACCAGGGCTGTTAGTTTCTATTTATGCATCTAGAAAATGAAGATGGTGCCCTGTTTTTGCTTATTATCTTTATATTACTCCTATGTTGAGTATTGGATCTTGAGACGCAATTTTCCTCGTGCAGGAGCTGAATAATCTCGATGCTTACAAGCCAACAAAGTGTGATCCTAAGCATCTTGTTCAGTTCTATAAAAGCCGCTTTCTGGTAGTTTCTCTTGCCCATTGGTAACAACTTTATCATCGTTTCCTTTTTCTTGGCTTAGAGAATGGAAATTAACATGCTTTATTTACTCATGCTGTTTTTCCAGGCCTAAACCAAAGTTGTGATTTTGATAAAGCTGCTCCAAACAGGCATTTTCAAGTCGCTTTAGCTATGTTGGTTGTGGTAGATTAGATTTGCGTGTACTATGCTCGGCTTGTAATTAATAATGTGTACTTTTTTAAAAAGTGCAGTATATCATCTATAAATAAAGGGCCTTTTTTTTTTTTTTTTTAACTTTTAATGTTTGGAATAATATTTTTTTGAAAAATGTGTTGTTAAAAAAAAATGAAAAATTTTCGATTTACGTGTAATATTATTTTATGGAAGATTGTATGATAATGAAAGAGAATGGAGCCAAACGAGGGCTAGAATTAGCTCCCCGTTTGACCACCTTTTTGGAAAATAAAAATGGGTGGATTAGTATTTTTTTGAAAAATAAGTGTTTGAAAAAAAAGTATAAGTTCTTGATTTAATAAAGTTCTTGATTTAAATGTAATATTATTTTATGAAATATTGTGAGATTGAAAATAAGAAAAAGAAAAATGGAATGCAAATAAAATATAGCTCTAGTTTGGCCCTCATTTTTTGAAAAGGAAATGAATGAAATAGTGTTTTTTTAAAAAGTGAGTAGTTGAAAAATAAAGAAATTTTTTTCGATTTACATATAATATTATTTTATGAAAAATTGTAAAATTAAAAATATGAGAGAAAAATGAAATATATTTTAATGGAGGCCAAACGGGATTGTAATGTATTGAGATTCCAAGAGGGGCTTAAATTGAGTTGATCAAAAATTACTGACAAAAGTTTTGACGTCCTTTCTCATGCATGTGGGATCCTTGTAAATAAAAAACATCAAAAAAATGTGATCCCCTCCTATTGTGAGTGACCAATTAACGAGGCTGTCAATCCCTTCCCGTTGGTGTAATAGAGTTGATAAAATTATTGGAGCGATCATATATCAATTTTCTTAGTATTAAGGTGTATTATTATCAAACAAGTTAACGGTGTGTCTAATTAACTTTATTTTTCATACACTTTTTTTTTTTGCCTTTCAAATTTCTACCTTTGAAGTGTTTGATTAATAATACATCTTCATAAAAATTATTTTCAAAAGTTGGTCAGACCATGTTTTTTCTCGAAAAAAGAAAAATTCAAAAAGAGAGTGACGATTTATTTTTATTTGATTGAAGAAATTCTGATCCAAACATATTTTACCACATTATGCGTATGTATGTCATTATGTACATGTAACACTATCATTTTTTTATAGGTGTTATGTTTTTATCGTCTAAGCAATTCACACTTTGCAAAAAATCGACTTTATGAAAATGTAAAACATTTTTTGGATTGAAAATTAAATCAATCAAAAACATTTAATTGACAATTTTTATGCAAATAAGTTTTAGAAAAATGATTTCATGTAAGCTTCATGCTTGCAATCAATCACACCTTAATATTATTAGTACAAGTAATTTTGACACATCAAAAACACTGACGACCTGCGAAAAAGAGTAACGAGACTTAAAAATATTTTGTGGGAAATTCACAATAAGCTCCAGCAAATTCGCGGAATTGAGTTCACGAGCACACGGCTAACCTAACCAGGATACGTAGGGTTCCGAGTCTACGCAGAAGAGTTATATTCTGCAATCTATGAGGATAAAGTTGAGTAAAAAAGTTCTCAATGCAAGAGAAATTCGTGGAATTCTTCTAAAGGATTTTGCAAATCTTATTATATATCCAATCCCATCATTATACACTGTCATGTTTTATGGTTTAGTTCACAATCTTGAATTGACAATACATTCTAAATCTGTACAAAACCAGGCATCATGCAATAGCTCAAGATATGCTAGAAAATTGAAAACAGACCCCCCACACAAGTCGCAACATAAAAATAGCCTGTAAAATTTAATTCAAACCACTGCAAGGCACCACATTTTTGACAAACCTGACTAGAATAAAGAACCTATGTCCACAGCATATAATCAGAATGTAACTAGTAATTCTCGATGTAGCCTTAACAATGCTTACCTCATAGTAATCTTTTGGTGCGTTCTCTTTCAAATCCGGCATCTCGTTTTGTTCGAGGTGGAGTAGGAGGTGCCCGGTTGGAATCCTGGATTGGCTGTGCTTCAGGATCGTATTTCTGTGAAGCGAGATAATTCAAAGCTGTGACAACATCTGCGATTGCTGGTCGCATGTTAGGTTGGTCCTGAACACACATTGCTGCGATGGAAAGAGCTTGGAACAGGCCCCTCGCTGGATACTGACCTTGGAGCATTGGATCAGCAATCTGTGAGAATTTCCGCTTATCCTTGAACAAAGGCCTTGCCTGTACAACACCAACCAAATTATGTTTTCGGAAGGGAGAAAACAAAAATAAATAAATAAAATAAAAAAGAAAGAAGAAGAATCTTAATTAAACAGAGGGCTGCTCATTTTCATTTTCTTTTAAAGGGTATAGCATGAGATTCGGAGGTGGCAGAGGATTGGGGGATTTTATGGAGGAAGAAGAATTCATTCTTCCTTATCTTTTATTTTTCATTTTTTCGTGTGTGAGGGCAAATATGTCACTTCAAGCCAGCTTAACAAAAAATTTGGACGAAAACCTTCATTTATGACCAGAGGTTCTAAAATATGGAAGGTTGGAGGCAATAATATCAAGAAACCTAGGTTTGAGGTTAGAAGTGCAAAAGAGGGTCAAGGTTGGACAACATTGCCACAATTTAGATCCAAAGTTAATGATGGCTAGAGCCATATTACAAGGATAAATGACATGTTTGCCAAGCTTTTGAGCAACTTTAACAATGTTGTTAAACTTCATTACTAGATATTTTCAACTTTCCGACGTTGATTTGATAGCTAGTCTTTATTAAAGTTCCATTATAAAACATTTTGCAGCTTCATACCACTCCAAAACCATTTCGACAAAAAACTAAAATTCAGCTAAAATGAAAATATATGTTAAAAGTGGAAAGGAATCTCACCCATGCTACCAGATTCTGCTCTCCACCAGTTTTTGAATTTTCAATGGCTTTTTTGCCTGAAATAATCTCGAGAAGAACAACTCCAAAGCTATAGACGTCTGATTTAAGAGTCAGCTGTCCAGTCATTGCGTACTCTGGTGCACAATACCCATAGGTTCCCATAACCCTTGTGGAAACATGAGTGTTATCCCCAACTGGACCAAGTTTTGCCAACCCAAAATCAGATAGCTTCGGATGGTAGTCTTCACCAAGCAAAATATTCGAGCATTTCAAGTCACGATAAATAACGGGAGGGCTAGCTTTATCGTGTAAATATTCCAACCCTTTTGCCGCTCCAGCAGCAATTTTCATTCTGGTGTTCCAATCAAGTAGTTTCTTACCAGGAACAGGATCTGCATAACAAGCATTACACTTTTTTACTTGAAAGTAAGAAACAATTTTTACATATCCATACCTATTTGAAAACAAAATATTATTTAGTGCTAGTTTGGCAAGCTTAAAAAGCTGCTGTAAACAATTGATTTTAAGAACACATTTCTCATGATTTACAACTGCTATCAACTTTTACCGAAACCTACTAAAGCTTTATCAAAAGCTTTGTCAAACAACCCCTTAATAACCTTTAATTATTTATTAAGCTTAGCCAGACATGTTCTATAGATTAACACCAAATACGTATACCATGAAGATGGTCCTCCAAAGATCCGAGAGGCATGTATTGATAAACCAGAAGTCTCTGATCTCCATCAGCACAGTAGCCAATTAAATTAACAAGGTTGGTGTGGTGCAGTAGACTCAACATCAACACTTCAACAAGAAATTCATGGTTACCCTGCAGTCCACTGCGATCGAGTTGCTTGATCGCAACAACCTACAAGATAACTGCATGTGTCAAATGCACTGCACTTGAATGGTCATTGGCCAATAAGATTGAATCTGACCTCAATCAGAAATGTTATTTTAATGCATGAAAAAAATTCAAGCAAAGTAATCAGTTGCTTGTTCGTGTTAGTAAAAATAGGGTCACTGTGGAATCAAGCGTAAATGCACATACCTGATTGGAGCTCCCCAGACGCCCTTTGTATACTCTACCAAAACCTCCCTCCCCTATAAGACAATCCCTACGAAAATTTCCAGTAGCAGCTGCCAATTCGCTAAACGTGAAAGTCTTAGCCGCAATTTGATTAGATCCTCCATCTTTAGTAGCATTCTTCATGTTATCTGAAGACAAAAGCCAGATGGTAAGTGCAGAGAAAATATGGAAGAATATGATTGAAAGCAAGCAAGGAAATGAAATTTCACTTGTCAGAGTATTGAAACCTTTTCATTTAATGAAAATAGCAACTGAATGAAGAGAACTCACGTATCAACACCAGTGATTCTCTAATTAATGATAGCATTTCTTTTCACACTTGTCAACATCTTAACATCCCATCTTGGTGCTAAATCATCATTAATGATGAGAGCATGTTTGGCTAAGCTTGAAAAATACACTTAGAGGTCAATAAGAAAGTTTTAAAATAAATAATTGTTTTTCCGCGGTTCAGTCGAGTTTGAGGGTGGCATTCACCAGTTCAACCTGTTGATTTCCGAGAAATATTTCTGACGGTAGTCTACTTCCATAAAAACTTGAAATTCTCATCAAGTCAATCTAAGCTAAATTAGAACAATCGACCTGATAATAATTCTTCCAATTTCAAATTGAATTTGATAATTGACTAAAATGGAAAACCTCGAATAAGGTTTACCCCCCCAAAAGTTCAATTAAATAAGCATCTTCAAACAAGTCTATATGCGCAAGACTCAAATATATTCTTCAAATATCCATGTAATTAAGAGAAAGAGTATGATACAGTAATTGGGTAATTTGAAAAAATAAATCTTGAAAGTAAAAGAAATAAATACCTGAAGTGGATTGAATTTGATTCATTATTTCTTTCTTCTTCCTCTTCTTTTTCGATGCCTGGCTAGATGAACCTGAACATGGAAACCATCCCATCTAATTTCTTTGTTCACACACACACACACAGAAAATCTTTTGCTTTGTATTTCTGAAACTGTAGTGTGTAATGTTAATGTGGAAGAGAGTGGCAGAAAGGGGTTTAATCTTCGGCGCATCTCTACATTTACTATATGGAAAAATTTACAGTTGGGTCCCCAGCTTATTGGAAATATAGCATGTAAGTAGGGTATGTTTAATTATTTTGAATATTTTATTTCTATATTTATATTTATTAAATATAAAAAAGTTTAACACATAAATAAGCTAACTAAGTCGGGATAGTGATCATGTTCCCGATCCTGCCTCGTTTCCTACTTTGGACAAAATAACCCATCCCTATTTGATCACTCCATCAACCAAAATATCTTTGTCCCAATCTATATACTCACGTGCACCACTTAGACTACCCGATCAACAAGATAATTTTCTTCACAACCCATTATTCATCTCACCACAATTATATACCCTAACCCATACATTTCTCTTTTGAAGGGGTCGGGGTGGATTTTTTGAGGTTCTTTTCCATCATCCTATGTTTAAATCTATTCTAATTATATTTGTGTTATGAGAACATCTACAACTTTTATTGAAAATGGTTTTGAAAGTTCGACAACCCAAATCTATGTCTAGCGATTTATAAAGGGGTGAACATCAAAGTGTTTATTTTTCTATTGATAAATTATTTTTTTTTCAATTACACTACGTATAGAAGTATATATGTAAAATAGATGTGGTGTAATATAAAACTATATATTTTAATTAGTGTGTACTTATAATATATCTGGTTTGATTTATTAAATTGGTGGTGTGAATATAACTACCCAAAAAAAAAAAAAAAAAGAACAATTAGAACAACCGGGAGTTTAGCTCTCTTTTATTTATACTTTTGTCCTTTTATTTCTTGATTTTCTTAATTGAACACGAGTGAAGTTGTTTCTTCAAGGGAAAAAAAGATAGTTTTGAATTAATTAAAATTGTAAAATCGTCTATTAGGGACTCCAAATGTTATAAAATGAATGGTTGGAGATTGAGGTTGTCAAAATATTAGGTTGAGGATCTATTTGCAATATTTCCTTTTATAAAGAAAAAGTTACTGGAGTATTTTAAATTTAGCGGAAAAAAATAAATTATACTGATTAGGGCCTTTTTGTTGACCTGCTCCAAACTCTTTTTCTATAACTTGTCTTTACTTTTCATAAAGGAATATCTATTAATAATTTGCACTTGTTAATAGATTCCTTGAATGATAGAATGGTGGTTGAGTCGACTTATTTTTATAATTACCACAGACTATATGCATTCATTCACCGTAGCACCCTTTATTTAGACACTCGACTTAGAGCATGTTAGATAGAGATTTTAATTCAATTAATATCAAGTTTTTTTTACCGTTATTTCACTATTCCAATTGTCATTTTTGAATTCTTCTCTCACATGTAGGACCCATTTTATCTCTAACGGTCAAAAAATCAATTAACAAAATGCCTATCAAACAAGCACATAATTTATTCTTATTTTTAATCAGAATAAATGATTTTCTTAAAAAATAAAAAAAATAAAAAAAGTCGAGTTGAATAGAAAGAAATAAGTTTATTGAGGTACTGATCGGAAAATGTAATTACAATAATAAGTAAAAATCAACCTTACATTCAAAATCACCACATTCCATATATTAAAAAATAAAAATAAAAATTGTCCACATAATTATAAATTTATAACAGATGAATCATTTTTATTTTTTTTTAATTTCACCACATATGAGATGTGATACGAGAGCTATCCATATCGTAACAAAATTTAAAAATTGGGAGGTGATGTGGTAAACTTATTGAGGGAAATCGATAAATCTTTATGTGACACAATCAACATCAACGGATGGACCTGATCAACGACAACCACTTTCACCTTTAATGAACCCATAGTCGTGACGAATTTTTGTACACACACTTCAGTTACAATGGCGGCAGAGGTGGCAGCCAACATGGCTGCAGCCACCCAATGCTCAACTGTTGTTGGAGTTTAGGGCAGCCAAATCACTCAATACGCTGTTCCAATGTGGAAGAAAGGATTTTGAAATGGATAATTAGTTGCTGACATTCAGTTTTATAATTATTTAGCATGAACATTAGCCCTCTCAACTTTCTATTTGGCCTTCTCATTCCATAGCTTAACATCCACTTGTGCAAACTTGAATTTTGTAAATTGGGATGGGAAGAAACACAGCAATCGAAAAATGATAGCTATTACATCCAAAACAGTAAAACCAAATCTGGGCCTGTATTCACAGAAATATGAACAAGTAGAAATTTACATAAATCAATAATACTGTCAACATCATTAACGTTAGTTGATAAGTTCAATTAAATTAAGAGTAAGGTTATTTAACATTTATGATGTTACAACACTGATTTAAGTGGCATCTAAATGATATTAAATAATAAACACAACTAAATAAATTAAATAATTCTATCTTTAATTAATCCTATCACATTATTACACTTAGATTGCTTCTAGATAACATTATTTTTAAATTAATCATGTGATGTTACATAAGTAAATTTATCATTTAATATTATGCAGTTGTCATCTAAACTAGTGTTTGACACGAATGATATTGAATAACATTATTCTACCTTAATATGTAGCTACTCATGCAAGCAAAATAGTGATAATTACTTCAAAAATCTTGAGTAATAACAATATGACGAAATTTTATAGAATGTCCAATTTCACTTAGTCATTTGCAAAAATGTCCACATTTTTTTCAATGTCCATTTTTGAATTATTTAGACAAAAATACCCTTGTTAGGAAATTCTATTTCCAACCCAAGACTCCTATTCATTTCCCCCCAAATTAACCTCAATTTCATAACCCTCAAATTTCAAATCGATTACATTTACTTGCTGTGAAATCTAAAGGAGCGATTGGGAGGGATCTGGGGCGATTTTGTGGCTGAAGGAGAAGGAAGGGACCGTCGGCCGGCAATTGGGGATTGGGCGAAGCTGAAGGGAAGGGAATGGAAGGTTGGCAGTATAATAGCATTTTCTATGGAATGTGAGCCATTTATCTTCTCTCTTTTCTTTTTTTTTTTTGTTTTGTTTTGTTTTTGTTTTATGCCACTGCATCCATGATTTATCATTTATGTTATGTGATTTGTGAATGTTGAAAAATTTGAATGTTGAGTTTGAGTTGAGTGTTGACTTGGACTGTTTACTGTTGTGATATTGTCTATTACCTGTTGGAACTTGGAAGAAGAAGTTGGAAATACTCGGAACTTGGGTTTGGCCTTTGGGTCACTTTGGAAAAATATTTGATTTCTGGGTGTTCTTCTAAGTCAAGATCTGTTGTTGTTGGGTTTATTTGTATTCCAAGAAAATCACATGGTGATGATGTGACAATAATGAATAATCCCAATAACTTCACAAACCTTGAGACCAAAAATGACAGTATTCTTAGAGAGTTCCGCATTCAGATCAGAAGCCATTTTAGGATGTCAAACGACCTGCAGGAATTTGTAAAAACCCTATTTCATCTTATTTCATTTCAAACTCCTAAATAAATCAGCATCAAGATATGTATAAAATTCATTTGTAAAAACCCTATTTCATCTTATTTTATTTCAAATTCCTAAATGAATCAGCATCAAGATATGTATAAGATTCATTTGTAAAAACACTATTTCATATCTCATATCATTAAGTCATAGGAAAAAGACCTATAATTAATTGCACTCTGTAAATAAATTCAATAAAATAAAGAAATCTCATTTACATATATTGAATAACTTTTAATATTATTTAACCAAATTTTAATAAACAATCGGGCTATTATGGTTGTTGATTGTCGACGGTCAATGGATAATGGTCAACCTCCACCCTAACTGGACTTTGGTGCTGGATTTGCCACTGAGCAGGGTATAAGGTTTTAGAACTACCCATTCTATATTTCTGCTTCAATAACATGAACTATTTTAAAATATTTTGGTATTAACCGAGGTTTGCTTTAATTTCAACAATTAAACAACTTAGTTTAGATATGGTATTTTATCAAACCATTGTATTGTAAAAATTATTTTTCTTTTACTGCATTATAAACAAGAATGCTATATTTGATTTCGTTTGTACGTTCTCATACTATTTGTTAAAGTATTGTTTTCATTTGTTTTGATTTGTAGATAAGTATGACACACCGATATAAAATTTTGGAGGAAGAACGTGTTCTGGCCCATGTGTCGCAGGTGAGCAACACAAAATACATATCAGTTGTTCTCAACAAATTGGATCCATAACAAAAGCGTCAGTTGGAGGAGAGTTGTATAGGACATGTTGCAAGGTTACCGGAGCTGAAACTATCCGCTCAATTAATTTATGAAATGGTAAGCAGATCGGTGGTCTGCCGAAAGCGGTTTAAGGCTTGGTTTAAGGTGAACAAAAGGTTTGAACGATTTGGACTGTCGAAGTTCGCACTAATTACTGGCTTGAAGTGCGGTCCAGTGCCTAAAGGTATCGAAGTTGACAAAATCCTAGAGAAAACCTGTTTACAGGATAAAATATTTGCAAATATGGACCGGATAACTTGTAGCGACCTAGAGAAAGTTTTTTTGAAATGTGTCAATCGTAACGATCGTTACAAGTTTGGGTTGACACTAATTATTAAAAGGGTATTTAATTCAAGAGATCGAAATGTAGGAATACATCCGACAACTCTTTCCATCGTTGACGACTTGAATTTCTTCAATGCCTACCCATGGGAGGACAGTATGTTTTCAACTTCTCATCAAATCACTGTTACGTGGATGGGTAAGAAAGGTGGACATGGAAAAAGTGAACGATTGTGATAGGATGACTTACACGTTGTATGGATTCCCTCTTGTTGTCCAGGTATCCATCTATTTTGGTTCATTTCAGTTCTTTTCATCGCATATTGTTAATTACCTCCAAATATGGTTATTACTATTATAGATGTCATGCAGATTTGGACGTACGAGGCAATCTCGGAGTTGGGAGATCGATTCTCGAGTAAGACTTGTGACGATGTCCCGAGGATGTTGCGGTGGTCTAGCACAAAATAACCTCATTCCCGAACATATTCAGATTTTTTTGAG